CCCCCCCCCCCCCCCCGGTCCAGCCTGCACCAACGACTCCAGGCCACGGCCTCCCCTCCTCTCCACACCCTGCAGTGGCTGCCAGGCCGAGGGAGGCGCCCAGTGCAGCCTGAAATCCAACACCATGACTGTTGTGGCACTGGGCGAGATTTAACCCTTTCACTACACAGCTGAGACCTGCAAACCTCAATCCCCTCTCCAGGGAGAGGAAAGGGAATAATGACATGTAGAAAGACAACATGAAACATCAAGGTCAGTAAAAGAAGAAGTCAAGCCTCAGATGGAAGAGGGATGAGGAGGTGCCGAATGGTGCCGAATGGAGTTAAATTTTTCTTTTGGTATGGCCATGTATATGGACAATGATATACAGAAATATCCCCTTTAATTCATGAGAGTATGGGGGGATAAAAGTATTCAAGCTACAGATCTGAGCAGAGGCATCCACTGATGAAGCCAAGCAGATGTTGGAGTAGCTGTGACCCTATGAGACACTTGAACAGAGAGAGATGAGAGCTGATGAAGACCCTTTGCCCCCAGGGAGAGAAGAAGAAAACCTCTGTTCCCAGAGATGATCACAGAGACAGATGAAGAGAACCTTTGCCTTTGAGTAACTCATCCTTAAAGTATTACCCCATGAGTTCATGGCCCATGGACACACCTCTAGGAGGACTGTGTCATGATGCAGAATTTTTGCCCGGGTGGCTGCTATTCATGGAAATGAAAAGCCACGAGAAAACTGTTTCTTGTGGAGAAGTCTCCATGGCATGACCAGAGAAAACTCTTCTCCTTACAAGAACTGATGAAAGACTATACTAAAGTATATACTAAAGTATAGTTGGTACTGCTTTACTATCCCAGGTTTTGTCTCTATGTGGTGAGCTGGGAAAGGAAAGAGGAAAGGTTAGGGGGAGGAAATGTATTCTGCAGGTTGTATTCTGATATTTCTTATTCTTGTAGTCCTGTTAATAAAGTTTCATTATTCCTTTTAAATTTTAAGCCTGTTTTTCCCTTCTCCTAATCCATATCTCACAGCAAGAGATGAGTAAGTGCCCTGGTGATTTTAGCCAGCACTAAAACCCACCACATTTTTTGGTGCATTGCCCAGAAAACTCAAATTGGTGAACCTAAACCACTACATATTATTACCTTGAAAGCTTCGTAAAATGAGGCATCTAAGGCTTCTAAAATGTCTTCATCAGGACGCCACCAAAGCTTCCCTCTGTGTCCATGTCCAGCTTTATAGGTTTCTAATGCAACCAAAATATGGAAGGGATGTATTCTACCCTACAGACAGAAATCAAAAATAAGGGTATGCAAATTTAATCTCCTTAAAAAAAAGTAACAAACTAAATGTGAAAATAAGTTCCTACTACAAAAAAATCTCAGGTTTTGTATATGGTTGCTTTAAATTTGTTAAATCTAAAGAGTTCATTAAGTTTTTATAGAGGTGTTGGATGAACAGATACTTGTGGGTTACTGCTAATGGAGACCTCACTCCCTCTCAAGAATCCTCTAACACCAAATGGGATGCCGTCACCAGAATACTGGTAAAATTTTGCAGCTCTATGATTGTCTACTGCTATTTTCCATCACAGGCTTACAGTAAGAGAAAGTCCCTGCCCAGCTGAAGAGAAAGGAGCTGAGCAAGGAAAAGAACCAACTTGAAACTAGCTTTATACAAGATACAGTAAGACTGGACAAGAAATTATTTTTGGAACAGAGCATTCATTTTTCTCATGCTATAGAACACTTCAAACAATTTTTTTTTTTTGCTTTCCATATATAAACTTAATTTATACAACCTTATCAACATTTTGTTATCTTTATCTGAAAAAGGTGTTTCAGTCCTTAATCACTGCCAGCATCAAAACTCAGTAAATCTGAATGCCTGTCCATTGTCTATCTTTCATCAAGGTATTGCACCATGATCTTTGCTCTCCCCTCTCCAGTACCTGTGTATGATTAAGGAAGAAACCAGAGAAAAGCAATTGCAGTAGGACGGGGGAAAAAGGACTTTTGTTGTTGTGCTCAGTTCAGCTCTGGTGCTGAAGAATTTAAGTGGCCTGATTTCAATCTTCCCAGCTCACAAAACTGCTGCTCAAGACACTTGTCCTGTCTACCTATGACTAAATCCCTCAAAATTTTATTCTCTCTTTGGGGAACCCTCTTTTCCTTCTTACTTTCCTACCATCTTGACGGACAATAAAACAATCAAAAAAGAGGAAAGTCTCCTTGACCACCTTGTTTTTTCCCTCAGCTGCTATGCTATCTTCTTAACTCACTTAAAAATTAAAAGACTCAGAAGAAATTGATGAACTCAATTCACAAAGTTTGACACAGCCCTCATTTAAGGAAAGATCCAATACCTGCCAATACACCTATTTTATCAGAATGTTTCAGAATGCAGGTGAGGCATCAAATGTGAAATTATAAACACAAGTTTTAAAATAAAGTTGTAGGCATTAAACTGCAGTTTTAAAACAGAATAAACTAAACATAAAAATTAAAATCTACCAAGGCTGGCATTGATTATAAAGTTCTTACCTTTTTTAGCAGCTTCTCATTTCTCAGTTTTTCACACACTATTGCCACTTCTGAACCTTGTGGTTCAAGCACTGAATTTGCTGCCAGCTTTCCTAAATTTCTCAATAATACAGATACAGGCATCTCCTTGAGTAATGCCTTCCAGACCTATGATGAAAGAGAAGGGAAACGCAGAAAGATGAGATTTCCAAAGTACAAGAACTGGCATCTGTACATTAAATAAGTGTACTTTAAAATAAATATACAAATTATATTGAGATCTTAATCATTTTAAATTAACTATTTGGGTAAACAATTTGAAAAACAGTGTAAGGGCTATTTTTTAAAGAAATCTAGACTTAAGAGTCTGAACAGCATTACTCTATGGAGAATTCATACTTCTATGGAGAATTCAACTAAGGAAGTTTACCTACCTCTTTAGATTTCAGATGGTTTGTTAGGAGATGCTCTCTAACTAGACCATATTCCTCTATCAAATGAATAATTTCCAATTCATCTTTTGTGTGTTTTACTTTCTCCACAGCCTCCAGATACTTCAAGAGTTTTTCAGTCTCAGCAGAAACTACTTTCTGTTTATAAGCTTCTTCGACATCTTTCCACCCCTTGGTAATATACTTAGTGACTATTGCAATTCCTGATGAAAAAGAAAACCATTTCTCAAGCAGGATTACCATCTGTATACTGGCATTTATCATTCTATCATGCAAATGAATTAGCAGGTTTTATTCTTAGATGTGCCACACACCTATTGGAAAGGTCAGCCACACACAATTTAGAGCGGCACTTTTAATTACTGTATTAATCTCCTTATAAGTAAGGAGCTTTATGTATTTGCTACATTGCCCAGAGATGCTGTGGATGCCCCATCCCTGGACACGTTCAAGGCCAGGCTGGATGGAGCTCTGAGCAGCCTGGGCTAGTGGAAGGTGTCCCTGCCCATGGCAGAGGGGTTGGCACTGGATCATCATGGTCCCTCCCAACCCAAACCATTCTATTATTCTAAGATTTTAAATCAACAGATCTTCCCACATAACAAAAAAGTGTTATTTCAACGTTTGTAAGCAAGCAGGAAGAAAATTAGAGAGTTCTGTTATTTTATCTTCTGTTGGCATATGGAAGAAGGAACAAACCCTGCTTACCTTGAAGATAAACATGTGTGGTTTTGATATGAACATCCACATTTTTAAGATGCAATTTACAGGATATCCTCACTAAGAATTCATCTACAGTGGCACTTGTGTTTCCAAAATATTTTCATAGTAATCATAAAGGTGTTAATACACAGTATTTTCAGGTAAATAAAAATTTATTACCTTCACTGGCAGGTTTTAGGTGGGACAATCTCAGAAGATCTTTATGAGACCAACCACTTCTTTGCTTATTTTTTGTAACTGCTAAAGCAAGAGCCATGCCATTTTTTCCATTGTACCAATCTGCAACAGCTTTCCTCAAAGCACGGCCCCACATGCCACATTTCATGCCCTCCTTCAGATCTTTTTTAAACTGGATGAAAGTAAAGAGATGGGCTGGTATGCAACACACCTCAGGGACAGCTTTAAATGCTGCTTGCTTTGTTTTAGCATCAGAACACTGTGAGCAAACTGCAAGGGCAAAGAGCAGGGGCTCCTGTTTTGCTGCTCTGCCTTCTTGACTAAATGCTTTTATTTCTTCAACAACTTCGCAGCCTCTGCCCTCTTCAATCAGCCTTAGCAAAGCTTCTGCATTTTCAAAGCCCAGCTTCTGCTCCTTGACATGATAAGTGCTGCCCTCGGACCCAAAGCACAGGAAGTGCTGCAGCCGGGTGGTGTCGGTGAGGTGCCAGCTGGCACCGCTAGCACAGCTGGGCTCTGGCATCTCATTCAGGGACTGCGCTTGGCTCTCCTCTACCTCCATCCTTTAGACTTCCAGGGGTCTGCTGGAAGAATAATACATTTTATTAAGAATTACAGTTGACTACTCTTTTAGCAAAGTAAATACATATTCTCTATAAAACTAGTAATCTTAAGTTTTCTTTCACAAATTTAATCATAGGGTACTCCAAGTGTGCAATAACACATCTCACTTAGGGGAAAAGACACAAAAAATCTGACTTATAACAGCAACTAACTTATTTCTTTAAAACCAACTCAGAAACTACTTAATCCCAATAAGTGTCAGACAAAAACCATCAGGTGTTATTGCCTTTTGCCACTAACATATTACATCACTTTTAGTGTCTTGGGTTGCAATGCAAGATGTAACCAAAAGTATGTATTCTATTACTATCAATTGAAACCAGGTGGGGCAGTTTTCTTTATCTCTTCCACAACCCATCCTCCCCCCAGAGGGATATCTTCTGTTAATGGGCCATTGAGTCTCATTACATGACTGATGAAATTACATCATCCCATTGTGAGATGCTCCACTGAGGGGGAGGAGCCAAGCATCTAAACATGTTTATCTCTGGAGACTCAGAACACCATGGCAGCCTTTCTCCACTGAATTCTCAGAGGCGGGAGACGGGACCCATCTACATCACCACTGGACCTTCAGAGGAAAACTATGCCCTTCTAGGGGATCATTACTTCAACAGAGCCACATCTGTCACTACAGGACAACTGCAGCCATCATTTAACTGGACTGCTACCAACACCCTGGCTAAAAGGGTGTCAGGTTGTATTCTGACTCTCTGAATGGGTTGTTTTTTTGTTGGTTTTCTTTTTTGTACTACTGCAGTTTTATTTTAATTTTCCTAGTAAAGAACTGTTATTCCTATTCCCTTATCTTTGCCTGAGAGCCTCTTGATTTCAAGATTATAATAATTTGTGAGTGTGAGGGGGGTAGTTCACATTATTTCCATTTCAAGGGACATTTCTACCTTCCTTAGCAGACACCTGTCTTTTCAAACCAAGACACTTAGGTAGATTTTTATATTGCATACTAAATGGCTCAAAATCCAGATATTGCACTCCTATTTTGCTTAAGGATTGCTAATACTGACCAACTGAAGAAAAACGAGGATAAATGAAGAACTAAGATACAGAAAAACTGTTTACTTGGAAGACTTTGTGAGAGTTTATATATAGTAGGTTTCAGTGAGGCTTAGACAACAGCTTTTTAACAACTGAGTAGCTAAAGAACAAATCATCTTTGCTACAGGCTCAAATCATCTGCTGTTCCAAGTGAGATCCAAGAAAACAGAGACATAACAGATTCTGTACTGCTTTACATTTGAAGTTAAGCAAAATTGGGCAGGTGAAAATAAATTAGCAGGGTAAGGGTATGAAAATTCCTCATCACCACTACCTCCAAAACATTAGTATCACAACAATAAATTTAGTTTACTCAGTTCTCACCAAACAATAAAATGAGACTAAATAGCACCAAGAGCTCCTACTGAAAACCAAAAAGGCAAAAACCAATAATCTACTCCATCAAACTGCATATAAATCTTAAAATACAGAGACTAAAGTCTGAGAACACAAATGACATTTCCAAGAAATCCATTAAAAATTTTCAAGGATTGCAGGTATCTACTTTTGACTTTTTTTGCCTGTTCAGATAGTGAAGACAAATAAAAGCCATTTTGCTCCACTTAACAGGATAAGCTAGCACAAATGTCACTAATATAGACAGATATTTTTTCCCTTAGTTTCAGTAAGTAACACTCTGACTTACAAACAACTTCCCTACTTGTAGTAGTTTAGATTTGCCAATTTGTGTTTCCCAGCCAATGTACCAAATAATGGGGTGGGTTTTAGCTCTAGCTAGAATCACCACGGTACTTATTTATCTTTTGCTGTGAGATATGGATTAGGAGAAGGGCAAAACAGGCTTAAAACTTAAAAGGAATAAAGAAAGTTTATTAGTAAAACTACAAGAATAAGAAAGAAGAATAAAACTTCCAGAAACTTTTCCTACCTCCACCTAACTTTTTTTCTTTTCCCAGCTGACACTGTAGAGACTGGGATGTTAAAGCAGTACTAACTATACAATAGCCTGTTCAGCAGTCTTTGTAGAGAGGAGTTTTCTCTTGTCATTCCATGGAGAGTTTTCTACAAGAAAAACAGTTTCCTTGTGGCTTTTCGTTTCCACGCTGTCCTGGGGTGACTTTACCTTTAAGATAGCTTTGGGAGCTAGGGAAGTTGAAGCTGCTGGAGGCTGATGGGAGTTTTTTCTTCTGACCAATTATTGGTCATTTTTGAGAATTCGCGGCGGTTTTAACCACTGAGAAGTGAGATCAACTTGTGAACACCACCTTAAGATGTAAAGCCAGGGCTCTCTTGTTCTCTTTGGTTTCCGGCTTCTGACGAGGTAAAAGAACTCCATCTCAGCCTCTTCCCCCCCACCTCCAGGCCGGACAAGGCCGCAAAGGGCGGGGGAAGGGGGGAGAAAGGGAGCCAGCCAGCCTGACTCGGTTTGCAGTTTCTGCTGCTGAACTGAAACCTGACACCATGAACACCTGCAGCTTTCCAAGACTTTAACTCTTTTACTACTTGGATGAGACTTACAGATAACTCCTTTTTCCCAGAGAGAGGGGAAGAGAGAGAGAGAGGGATAATCAACATAAAGAAGACATCATAAAACCATCAAAAACAGTGAAGAAAAGAATTAAGTTTTAGATGGGGAAAAGAGAATAAGGAGATGCTTTAATAAGCTGAAATATTTTTCTGTTAAAGCTATGGAGATGGACAATAGTGTTCTGGAAAAAAATTCCTTTAATTCATGACAGAGTATATTGGGAGGAATGGAGCATTCAAAGTCCGCATTTTGAGCAAAAAGTGGAGTAATTGTGATACAGTGAGGTGCTGGAACAGAGGGGGGAGAAGTAACAGTTGAAGATTTAGGGCCATTGTAGAGGCAAAGAGAAAACTTCTGTTTCCAGAGAGGCTCACAGAGACAAATGAAGAGAACTTTTGCCTTTGAATAACTCATCCTTAAAAATGATATCCCTAGACTCATGGCCCATAACACACCTCAGAGTGATGTGAAATGGGAGGAGAGAACTGATGACAGATTTTTGGGCAGCTGGCATCAGAGAAGTAGAAAGCTATGAAGAAAAATAGTTTTCTTGTGAAAAACTCCATAGATTAGCAGAAAAAAGACTTCTGTTTCTCTACAAAGACTGATGAAAAGACTCTAGCAAGAATTAGGACTGTTTTAAACACCAAAGTTTTTTGTCTCTGTTGTCATGTGAACAAGAGAATGGTTGGGTAGTGGGGGAGAAAAGGGTGTTCTGGAAGTTTTATTCTGGTTTTCTTATTCTTATAGGTTTTGTTAATAAACTTCCTTTATTCCTTTTAAGTTTTAAGCCTGTTTTGCTTTTGTTCTAATCCATATCTCACAGCAAGAAATAAGTAAGTTTTCTAGTGATTTTTTAGTTACTGCTTTAAAACCACGACATTTATTTGGTGCGTTGGTCGGGAAACAAAATTGGCAAATCTAAACCACTACACATGCCTGGCAGCCACCTGGAAAAATTCTGCCAACATGCTTTCTTCCCATTTTCACACCACTCTTGAGTTGTGCTCATGGGCCATGAACTCAAGGGACATTCTTTTAAGGACGAGTTATTCAAAGGCAAAGGTTCTTTTCATTTTCTTCTATGATCATCTTTGGGAACAGAGGTTTTCTCCTTTTCTCCCTGGGGCAAAGGGTCTTCATCAACTCTCAATTCTCTCTGTGTTCAAGCATCTCATGGGATCACAGCTACTTCACCATCTGCTTAGCTTCATTCAAGGGATACTTTTGCTCTGATTTACAGTTTGAATAGTTCATTTTCCCCAATGTTTTTATGAGTTAAAAGAGTTTTTCCGAACATTATTGTCCATCCCTATGGCTCTACTAAAATAATATTTCAGCTTATTAAAGCATCTCCTCATTCTCTTTCTATCTGAGGCTTGACTCTTTTCTTATTGACTTTGATACTTGATGTTGTCTCTTTACATGTTGATCGCTCCTGCTTTCTTCTCTCTGGAGAGGGGATTAAGTCTGCAGGTCTCATTAGGTAGTGAAAGGGTTAAAATCTGGCCTAAACTGAGGCCAGGGATTCATGGTGTTGGATTTCAGCTTGGCAGTGCTGGAAGGCAGCAGATTATTTTCCTGCTGCTTTTTTGGTCTGGAGCCCTCTGTTCGAGTCATGGGGGCGAGATGTCAGCAGCTGTGGCCTGCCCCACCCCAGAGCCGGGGTCCATGGCAGTGCCCAGCCCAGGGTCAGGGAAATCCCTTCAGTCTCCATCCCCTGCCCAGGAGCTGTTGGAGTCTAGCCTCGCCTCCTCCCCCCACCCAGGCCGCAAAGGCCAGGTAGGTGGTGGAATAAGCCAGTCACACTACAGCTCTGATACTTTTCAACGTTGGAAGCAAAGAGACAAGCAGTTCCCAGGTTTGGGTTTAAAAGGTGGTATTCACAAAGGTGATCTTGCTTTTCAGTGGTCCAAAATGCTCTCAGTCTCAAAACTGGCTAGCTATTGGCCTGATCTCAAGCAGAGAAGAAACTCCCAGCAGCCTGTCTCAGAGGAGTCACTTCCATGGATATTTCTCACTTTTTTCTTAAATGCCAACCTACTACACTACTTCTTTGACAGAATTTCCCTTTTCCTGCAAGCAACTAGAAATGCACCTTTCCCCTGTTTTTGCATATCTGCACTAATCTGTGCCCAGAATTAAACAACAATCATCAGTGCTCCCATCACATTCTACAAACTGATAAAATCATAAAAAATAAAAGCCTTATGCTGACATCTGGTTTAAGAAAGCAGGTTTTACTGAAAATTAACTAAGAAATAACTTTCATTGTATTATTTAGAATATCAGTGCTCAGCTAAAATTATATATTCTAACCATGTTTTCTGCCAAACCTATTTAAATACAGATCATGGTTGAACTGACTTTTCCCCTGACATCTGAAGCATGCAAATACACTGA